GGTATTGCTTTTCAACCAGATCGAGGTGATCTGAACGTGGGAAATCTGTCTTATTGGTCCAGGGCTGAGATCATCGGTTATATACGTGTTTGGAACCAGCTTAGAAAGCGAAATCACTTCTGTCTGTTCCTGTCAGCTGATGGTGTACACACACACACACACACACACACACACACTCTCTCTTTCTATATATATATATTGATGTGGTTGTGTTCTCTGAGCTGGATATTGAATTTGCGAAGCTTTCATTGCCCTACTAGACAACGAACATCTTCAGCGTATACTTCAATTTGAATTGAAGTGAGCTTTTAGATTTCTCCACGAGTTTATTAGTCACCTCTCCTAATGGAAACCTTTAACGTGATTGCTTGTGTTTGTGTGTTTTCACACCTTCTAGGCTACTTGTATTGGTACCGGTGCTGATTGTTTCTTTGACTATAACTTTGACTCTTTGTGTGTGAAGTTTCTTTCTTATTGGTTGATAAATTTTGTCTATCTCGATGTGTCTATTGATTGTTTATTCACTAAAATGCCAAGCTTCTAAAAATTCTCTAGCATTCATGGTGTTTCCGCTGTCTAATATTTGAACGCTGATTGTCCCAATCGAATTAATGTCCGTCGATGTCTGTATGTAGTGAGTGACATGAGCCAGGGAGTGAATGTCATGTCTTTTGACGGCTAGCTTATGATCATGGATACGAAGACGAAGGGGACATTCGCTTTCGCCAATGTAGTGTTTTTCGCAGTTGTTACAATTTATTTCGTAGATGATGTTGGTTTTATCTTCTTTCGCTGTTGAGTCTTTTGGTTGACATAGAACTGAATGAAGTGATTTTGTTTGTAGCCTAGAGGGTGTAAAAACACAGATGTCATGTCCGTCAAAAGACATGACATCTACTCCCTCATATCACTACATACAGACAACCATGGACATCAATTCGACTGGGATAACCAGCGTTCAAATATTAGACAGAGGAAACACCAAGAATGCTAGGGAATTTTTAGAAGGCTACCTGAAATTTCATTGAATCATCAATCAACAGATACATCGAGATGGACCAAATTTACCAACCGATAAGAAGGAAATCTCACACACAAAGGATGGAAGTTCAAGTCAAGGAAACAATCAGCACCAGTACCAATACAAATAGCCTAAAGGGTGTGGAAACACGCAAAAACAAACAATCACCCTCAAGGTCAGGTCACCAGGAGAGACGACTAATAGTGAAGTCGCGGAGAAATCTAAAAGCTCACTTCAATTCAAATTGAATTATGGGCTGAAAATGTTTGTGGTCTAGTAGGGGCAATCAAGGCTTGGCAAGTAAAGCATCCATCTCAGAGAACACAACCACATCGAAATCATACACCTGAGCTACAAATCTTCTCCGTCATATATATATATATATATATATATATATGCATCTTTTATCGATTACAACTTATGATAGGAAGCAGATAAAATATTACGATCTAAATAATTTTGGATTTTAAAGAAAACCATGGCGACTTTTCGTCTCATGCTTTGTAGTATACAAATGACGAATTCATTCCCTTATTACCAGTTCGCTCGATAAGTTGACCAGAATTGGAATGATTTAAACTCAGCTCTCTGAGATGATGCATTTGGAATACATTACTGATGAACTGGAACACAAGCAATCGAAACGGCCATACAGTAATTACATCTAGTTGATTAATTCCATTATTTGTGAATGCTTCACATTTTCATCAATCTGAAATCAGTGTGGGGATCTGTTGCACTATGCATAAAGAACAAGATTTGGAATTTCAACACTAAAATGACAACCCAGTTCTTCTATGCAGTTCAGAGACTTAGTGAGTCACTGAAAGAACTTTCAAGACGCTACTGTAAACTTTTGTCAACAGTTAATCAGCCTGAATTGAATACTGAAGATTGAATTACCAGAAAGGATTAGCACTGAAGAACTCAAGGGACGAACCAAATAGGTTTCAGATGTAAAAGAGAGTTTAATGAAGCTGTTGGTTCCTATGACCACTGCAAAATTAATGATATTCATATAGAAATCAAGTCTGAAGCTAAGTATCTTCGATTAATGCTTTCTTCTGACCAATTCTGGTCTTCCCATGTCTTAGCGATTTCCAAAAGAATATTTCGTCTGAATTTTTACATTACGAAGTTAAGTCACTCAGGCATAACTCAATCACTCCTCCTTTTACAATTTGCCGAATCGTGTATCTCATCTATTCTTCTTTACTGTTCACCCTTATTCTTTCCTGGATTGCTTAAACAAGACCATGTCATACTTCGTAGAACTCTGAAGACTGTCAGCAGGTAGAGTGGTATCCCATGGGGCCATATCGTTGACATTGCCACTAATAGGCAATTTTGCTAAAGGAATTTGTCAGACTATGAGCACCCAACCACCCGCAGCTCCAACCTTGTGTCTCCTCAGGTAAAACAAGAAGTATTTTTATGCACGTACGTCCAAATATATAAATTCCACTATATCATATTTGTGACATACGTTCTGCGATGAAGATAATGTCAAACACGAACTAATTAACCTTCTTTGCACTATTAAATAAACCATTACCTCCACCCTTATAACATCAGGCTTTATTGTTATTGTTATTATTATAATTATTAAGAATCTGTCACCCAAGAAATATGCAGAAGGAATAGAAGATTGGTAGAACATATATTAGTGCGTCGGTAGCACAGCGGTTAGGACGCTCGCCAACCATGCACATGGTTCGAGGTTTGATCTCCATCTACCGACGCACTCCATTAACTCGCTAAGCCAGAAATAAAAGGTAAAGTAAAGAGAAAAGGTTGGGCGTGAGGTTATCAACCCCATCCTGTAAAATAAACACTGCTACAAAAATCTCAAGCCTCTAGCTTGAGGCCCTATGTTCCACTGGGAACGTCTAGGAATAAAACGAAATATACTGAGGAAACTGTTAAGTAAAATCGCATACCAGGCCAGCTATCGAGTGGAACACGAATGGGGAACAACAGGTTAGGCGTTCGACAGTAAACTGGATAGGGTTGTGTGAGTAGGGGGAAGTGAGCTTATGTGCGACCATTAAGTCAGCTAAGAAGGACTTCAGACAGAGGAGTAGAATGGTGGTGCGGGGGGGGTGTTGTTGATGGTCTGCTTCCGCTTGGGAGCCAATCATTTATCAGTAGTGTGAACCATTTTGTGAAATTAGTACAGTAAAATTTCATCACTCGAACATGCACATTTCATATTGCGAGTTTGATTTATGTTATGATCACTTCCACGAGGTGATCAGCCAGATATTGAATGGTTGGAACTGATTCGGCTATATCTCTCTTTGAGCTAAGTTGTCCAACCTGACTATACCACTGATGAGCTTCACCCCAAACGAGTGAAACGGCCCTCACAACGGTATTCAGATTACCTCGATCTGGTTGGTTGGCAAATACCCTACTGGTTGATAGGAGTGGTATATGACTACTCGTCGCAGTTAATCAGTAGTATGCAGTGTTTCTTTTATTTTCACAGTCAATGAAGTTTTGAAAACTGTCAAACGAACAGGTTTAATTCGCCAATTCTTGTTTTAGACCACCAATATTACTGAATTTTGTAGACAATAGCAATAAATCACCAATATTGTTATTTATTAATCATTTAATGGCACACATATCATCCATCATTAATTATTCGATTACATAATTTCATTCATGGGAATGGTTTTTCCTCTCCTTTCTTTTTCTTTCAATTTCACTTTCATCCTAGTTGATATTGGTATTTCGGCAAAATTTAATGTGTAGCTTTCATGTGTAGCGTGTAATATGCGCTAACTAAATAACTAACTAACTAGCCAACTAACTAAATAACCATTTTTTTCTCCTTTCTTCGTCTTATGCTGTGAATTCAATTCATGTAATTTTGTACACGTCTATCTTCCATAATCCATCTTATTCTACAATGTCTATAATCATGATAAGGCGTAATTGTAATAGTTGAAAGGAATGCATATTAACGAAGATGAAAGATCAAATGATAGTAGTAGTAGTAGTATAACCGGCATATAATTAACTTTGAAGAATTAGCTCTTATTATTATTATTATTATTATCGACATGAAGAGAAGGGGAGGCTGAGCGAGGCGGGGCGGGCCGGGCCAGGAAAGCTACTTATAATTCAAAGGATTGATAAATTTCCCGTCAAGATAAAACAAAAAGGGGAGAAATTTTAAAGCAGTTACAAACAAAATGACATTTTTGTGTCTAACCGATTCTTTACTTCTGCCAAAAATGAGTTCGATCAGTTATTCTCGCCTATATACACAAACAGACAAAATTAATCATTCCTCGATTACTTTACTACTAATGGTGATATAATAGTAGCAATGATAATAATAATTAATTATTTTATTTATGATTAGAAGTATCTCTACAGCAATAATATAAATAATGGTAATAGTAATAATAACAGTACTGTTGATATATCCATCTATCTTTATTTTCCATGTATATATGTATATATTATTTCACATTTCTGTTATACAAGATAAGGAGATAAGGGAACTCTTTTCTTTCTGTTGTGTGTATATTTTTTTATGTGTGTGTGGTTGCGTAAGTGATTGGAGATTCGTAGGGGAGATACGATGTGTGGTTTCTATGGAAACGGCATCCTGAAGATTACACTTTTTGTTATACATACACTATCGGTATCATGTATATATTATCAACATCAAACGAACAAAGAATAAAACAATGGAAATTACAGGATATTAAAAAAAAATGCAAAGTCTGCTGTATACCTCGCGTCCGAAGGAAATATTTAATTGTTATATTGTTTTGCTGAACAGAATGAAAATTATGAATATATTATAGATGATATATATATATATTTAAATTGAAACATTTACATTGAAACCATTGAACACACTGTGAGGTACTTTGTTTAAATGTTAACTAGATAAAAATGGCCCCTTTTTCGAATTTAATTTGTCTATTTATATATATATATATATATATATATATATATATATATATATATATATATATATGAGACTGTTTGTTATCACGTGTCGTACAATCACCACAGGTGAGTGACTTAAGTTCTCACAAATTAATAGATCTAAATTTGAATTCACATACTTGGCAAGAAAGAAGATTATTTGAGACGACATATATGAGGAGCTCTTTTCCCTGGATTTCTTTCTGTCTATCTTGAATTTCTGTTCATTTCAATTTCATTCGTCAGCGGTGTTGTTGTCGTTCTTGTCGTTGTTGGCAGTGTTGCTGTTTGTGTTGTCATATTGACTGATGTTGTTGCAGTTGCAGCAGTTGAATTAGTATGCGGTGGTATCACAATAATATCAGTAATATTTGCAAATTCTACTGGTGCTTCTAAATCATGTATAGGCTCACCTTTATCATTCCAAAATGGTGATCGAACACGTTCACCTTTCCGTTGTCTAAATGCCATAACACGAAATGCATTATTTAAATAATCACGTAATTTACCCAATGCCATTGGTTCTGTAAAAAAATAACCAGAACCAAATTGTAATTGTGCTTGACGGAGTACAGCACTCATTACAACTGGATCAATTGGTGCTTTACCTCCAGACCCGTTATAATTGTGTGTAACTAAATAATGTAGACTAAATAAACTTTGTAGTAGACGTAGACAAAGACGTGGGCCTAGTTCATGAGGTTCACCACGTACCATTGTTAAACACTTACAATATGCCCATAATGGTAATGAGACGGATTGTACCCCGCCGATGAATATTTCACGTGGTTCATCTGGATTTAGTATAACTACTGGACGATCGATTAAATTATTATTCTGGTTATTGTTATTATTATTATGATTACTACTGTTATTGTGATGGTGATGATGATGATGACTGGAACGTGAATTTGAAGCTGTTGAATGCATCATTCCATTCGATCCAGAGTGTTGTAGATCACCGCCTAATAAACTTGATCTTACGCTTTGATCTGTCATTATCGTCGACGACGACATTGGACTTGGTGGTGGCGGTGGTGAACCAGACAATGCCCATTGACAATTATTAAAATTCATTGCTGATCTACGAATATTTTTTAATGCTGATGTTGAAATGCCTGCAGTGTAATGATTCGATTTGCTATTATGACATAAATGTAAACGATTATTTGAATAGGTACAGTTTTGTTGACATCTGTTCGAATTCAAACATTTTGTTTTTAAACGTCCAAATTTACTACCACGAAAACGTAGTGATGATGAGGATGATGACGGCGCTGGTGCTGATGGGGATAATGAAGACGCTATGGATGAGGTGGATTTTCGGTTGATATTCAATAAATCATTTGGATTAAATTCATAATTTGAGAAAAATACTGGTGGGTATAGTCGAGGTGATTTGTGCTGAATAATTAAACAGATAAAAAGTAATAATTAATTAGCAAGAAAGATACACTTTTCTAAAGAAAATTATACAAATATTACGATAATACTTTACCTCTGTTTAATCTACAACCAGTATCTCTAATAGTAGCGGATGAAATCAATGACCTAAATTCGTCCTACTTGGGATTCATCAACTGGACATGCTTATTTACCCCAGACGGTGCGTACTGCCAATGATTACCAAACTAGAATGAAACAGCCAGCTGTCGAGTATTCCCTATGGCTGGTTTTCAATGGTTCTGTAACTGATATCAAACCGTGATCAACTCATAAAAACAAAACTGAGCCTTACAAAACAACTAAATAAAATGAATCTAATGCTCGCTAGTGATTGGCTGGCTACAGGACGAGGTTGCTGGAGTTCTAGTGAGAAATCGTGACCAGTAAAGTCCATCCAGTCAAGTATGAGGAGGGATGTCCCACCTACGACATTGGTTGGAGTCGCGCTAAATCACGAATTTGTAGGAGGTTAGAATTAATGCGTTGGCCATTGAATCGGGTCCAGTTGGTTTAATGGTCTATGTGCTCGCCTTGTAACCAGAAGGTCCTGGGTTCGAATCTCAGTGGGTGCATACCGCTGCAGAGTCCAAAATTAGGACGGAGGAAGCAGTTGTCCAGTACTCCCTTCAGGTTTTTCAATGGTTCTCTAACCGATGTCAGCTCATAATGAAATCCTGTAACTCTTGAAAATTAATTACTCAATTTTCAACTCTTAGTTTCCACGTTTGACTCATAATCGACCTACTTCAGTCTGGACGACGTGACAGTATTATCAAGGCGTACAAAATAAGTGTGTTTCATCCTGTGGCATATGGAAAGTCTATTGCGTATAGATGAGTTCTAAAAAAGCACAATTAAATTTTAATTTCGATAGAGAAAGAAGGATCAGATTTGCAGAATAAAATGATATCATCATCCCATTTTACAGATTCTCATCATCTATCTGTAAACTACCTGAAATTACAATATTTGAAGGGTAATAGTGAAAACATTATAAGATGAACGCATCCGGAATGTAAGTATTACAATTACTTTTAGTTTAAGTTACCATCAATTTATAGACTGTCAAACTATGAAAAAAAGGGTGGTGGTGGTGGTAAGAGAAGACAGAAAACACAAAAATCTAATAAACAGTGTTAACCTGTACGTCAATATTGGCAATTCAAGAAGGTTAAAGTTCATCAAATTGAAAACTTGCCTAGTGAGCTTAACCACTGGGGTCTAGTCCTTGATACAAGTACAGACTGAGTTTTGTCACCCAAATTTTTTGCAATGGGGTCACCGGGGATAGATGACTCATACTGAATCAATATTAGTTAGTTGAAGGAAGTCAAAAAGAAACCCCTTTAGACTCGGCTTTGCACTTGTTAAAGCTCGTCAACATGGTGCATCGGCAAACTTGAAGGGGTTGACATTCCCCTTGAAATCACCTAGTGCTAAAATCAGAGACATTACCACTGAGTTATTTACATTCAAAACTGACTTCCTGAAATACCATAATGAGTACACTGCTTATAAGTGCTAACAAGCATGAAATCTAGATTCAGGATTACCTTTTAAAGTTTGCTTCCAACCATTGAAAGTAACAAAAAATGTATTTTCGAGTGAATACTTTTCTAAAATTAGAAATATTTGTTGTTCCTTAGAATGATATTTTGAAACATTGTACAATATCTATTTTCTCTCTGTTCAATTCATATTCAAATCGCTGATATAAATTCAGGTCAAGGTAGGAGATTTCACAATTCTGTCTACGAGAAAGCCACTCTTAATCATGCTTTTAAATAGAGTATAAACACTATTTACAAGTCTGTTGAACAACATTCTTTGTTTGGGTAGATGATCTCACTGAAATAACTGACACTGGTTGATGTTAGGTATTTGATACAACGTACAATGAAAGCAGAACTATTAAGCTGAGAATTCAAGGACTTTGAGGAGTTTTGATTGTAAACTTCCAAAGTTGGGAACAAAAAAATCTTGTGCCAATAATAGTGGAACATTTAATTTGTATAGAACAAGAAGTTCTATACATGTTCTAAAGATAATAATATTAATATTAATGAAGACATGCATGTCAAACATGCGAAAGATAATGACAACACTGACAATAAGGAATCTAAATTATCAGTTGTAATTCCACACAAGGAAGGAACCTCGGAAACTACCTTACACCGAATTCTTAACACTGCTGGCAGGAATAAAAGTGACTGGCATTCAAACCCACGAACTCAATTAGAAACAAGCTTTGTCGGTTAAAGAATCAATCCCCTGCCGGCAATGATTGTCAGGTCAAATACATGGGTCAAAGTGGTTGGACGGTGGCAGTCAGACTAGCCGAGCATAAAAACCTAGCAAAATCTAGATTGGTTGACTCGAACAAGATAAGAAACCTAGAGAAAAGTTCAGCTATAGCACTGACTACATGCAATTACACACAACCAACCGTACAATAGAATGGGATAGGATGACAGATTTGAAATCTAATGTAACCGCGTGGAGGGATAGATTGATAACAGAAGCTTTCTATGTCGAATCAACTGCAAATAAGTGCAATTGGAATGATTCAACACCTGACCACCCGGACATCTGGAAAATTCTATTACCCCAACGACGACAAATAGGGGAGAATAGATGAACTATAAACCTCAAGTTTCGAAATCGTGTGATTATAGTTGATATGATTATGAACAGCAATAAATTTTGTTCGAAACGTCATCCAGTAAATAATAATACTGTTTCACTGTGTGATACATCTAATAAACAAACTAATATAGAATTACTTACTACCACAGTGCCCAAGTTTTACACATTTATTAACATGTGCTAAAGGCTTTGTTAAGTATCTTAAGACACCAGTATTACACATCAGATACATAAAAGCCACAGATCACAATATATTGTAGTATGATTAAAGTCGGCGATATATGATTATGTAAGATCTATTTACATTCCCCTTCGGGAAGTTAATAGCTTGCAGCCTCTCCGTGCGTCGGTGGCACAGTGGTTAGGATTCTCGCCGACCATGCATATGGTTAGAGGTTTGATCCTCTGTCGACGCATACCTGATATCTATGGTCGGCCTACAAAATTTGGGCTACCGATATCACATGCTGAAAATTCCATACTTGTACCAAAAATACAGTGTGAAATCAAGCTGTAATCAAAAATAAAAAAGTTAAATGAAAATCGTCTGCCCTTCGTGTCGTGCTTATTTTTTTGTCTTTTTCTTTTCTTGTCATTCATGTTTTTCTGCAATACTGACTCATTACTTCGCCTCTTTACTATCAAATCTGTATCCGATGAACGTCCCTTCATATACTACTGATAAATCTCGACAGTAGTACATACCACAACTTTACACAATATAATGAACATATGTATTAAACTCATCAACTGATTATGTTTATTTTGGAATACACTGTTAAGATTATGTTTACTGAACAGAACAAAAAAAAGGAAACAACGCCTTGATATAATGTTGTTCTCGTTGTTAACACTCTGTCTTTTAGCATAAATTGAATAAAGACGAACATTTTATGTACATGAATCTGTTCTAATTTAAAATTATCAGGGTAATGTATACACACTCACTGTATGTTGCATGCATGTGTGTGGTAGGTCTGATAATGTTTACGTGCTATATAACACATTTTGAAGAGGAGAAGGGTATGTTGTTAAACTCTGAAATTTTTCTATGTTTTAGGTTGATGGGGATGGGTGTGGGGACTGGGGGGGGGCGGGGGGTTATATTTGTGTACATTTGTCTCCTGTGTATGCATAAGCCAAGCGAATAGGCATTTTAAAACATGTTTATAGGTGGTGATATGATTAAATTATCTAGTTATGTAAAATACTTGATAATAGAAATGTCATCAATGCATATTAAAGAAAATATTTAATGTTTGTTTGGTAATAATGACAATGAAGTTAAGGCAATACAAATGTCGCACTATTATTCATTTAAGTATTAGATATTTCCTATACTTTGTAAGCGATAGTAACGGCAGTGACCATCAACGGGAGGTATTTGAAGAGGGCCATATCTTGCTCTCATACCGGATAACCAAGTCTCTATCCGAGAAGAAACCAACGCAGATGATGAAAACCAATAATAGATGCTTAAGGCAGCCTAATTACCAAGGTGAAGAAACAATGGCACCACACTCCCTCCCCCCCCACACACACCCCACACCTCAACTTCACCGACTTCGGAAAGGCCTTCTACGGACAGCGTTGACTGAGAAGTGATTTGGATAATGCTTCTGTACTACGGTTTGCAGTGCCCAAGTCTTTATCAATCTCATTCAACAGCTGACTGTATGATTATGCCACGTGTCAGGTGATACAAAGTAGAAAACTCAGAGAGGCTTTCGAAGTGAATATAGGAGTAATACAAGGCTGTTTATTATCACCACGGATGATATTCTTAATTTTGGTGGACTGAATTATGCGTCACACTGTGCATGGGAGGGAGAAGGTTGGAATACGCTGGACCACCGATCATAAGACTCTAGAAGATCTGGATTTCGTGGATGATATATGTCTAATTTTACGTAAACTAGAAGAGTTGCAGTGGAAAACCAACAAATTGGCTGAAAAAGCAGGCAAAGAATACAAGACTTCAGGTGAATGTAGAGAAGACGGAAGTTTTGAAGATTACCAACCAACAGTAACAGTAACAAATACAACAACAAGCACCAATCGCCATCAACGAGAGAGATATGACAGAGACTACGTCCTTCATTTATCCAGCCAGGAAGTATCATCTCAACGGCAACTGGTGTAAAGAGTGAAGATATCAAATCCAGCCAGCCAGAATCAGAAAGGCGAGATATGCCTTCACCAACCTGAAACCAGTCTAGAAATCTTCTGCTGTCACTCCGCCAAAGCATAAAGAATAAGATACGAATTTTCAACACAAATGTGAAGTCAATCAATCAGTTCTTCTATACTGG